ATCGGTTCAGATCTCCAGGTTTTTGGAAAAAAGAGAAACAAACAAACAAACAACAACAAAAATCAGATCAATCCTGGAGTTAACTGGGAAATCCCAGTTTCCAGTAAGTCTTGAGTGCTAGGAGGTACTCCTTCAGATGTTTCATTGTGTTCATTTGGACATTGATATGTCCTGGAAGAGTGTCATCTTTTGGTTCTTTTTATTCTTCTAGGCCAAGGCTGCTGGTGACGATGAGGCCATGTTCATAGATGAAAACTTCTGTACTGCCCTGGAATATGGGCTGCCCCCTACAGCTGGCTGGGGCATGGGCATTGACCGCATCACCATGTTTCTCACAGATTCCAATAACATCAAGGTACACAGCAGCCCTCCATAGCACACACTGCCCAAAACTCTATTGTGTTGGAAGCAGAGCATGTGGCCCAGGAGAAAAAGAAAAGTTTCGGGGGTACTGGGAGGAGCTGTTGGAGGAGGTGGCTCCACGGGAGGCAGCTGAGAGCAATCTGACTTTAGAGGATTTAGTTTCTCCCTATGAGCAGGAGGAATACTGATTATTTGCATTTCAAGAGTTTCCAGGAGAGTGCTGAGCTCTCTACAGGTGTTAGTTCATTTAATTTAAGTGAGCCCTGTTAAGTGTGGAAACCCGATTTTTGTCCAATTTTAATAGCATGCATGTTTACTAATTCTATGGCACCCTAAATAGTGCTGTGCATTCGTTGTCTTCCATCTGTTACTGAGAGGGACTGAGTTGAAATAAAAAAACACGTTGATTTTTTTAGTGGATTTGGGTGGTAACATTAACAGAGGCAAAAGGAATAGAATGCCTCCTAGCTTCAAAATGCATCTTTATCTCCTATAGGAGGTACTCCTGTTTCCTGCTATGAAGCCCGAAGACAAGAAGGAGACTGTAACAACCACTGATAAACTGGAAGGCACAACAGTTGGCACTTCTGTGTAGAAAACAGTTCCAGAGCATGTAATCAGGAATCCTTGCATTTCTGCAAAAGATCAGGTCTACGAGGGAATTCTTTTATGTTGCCATCTATTTGACTATCATAGTTCCGTTCAGCCACCAGAAGAGAGAAGATGAATTAAGAGTTTCTTTTTACTCCTTGTTACCAAATAAACCATTTGTCTCTATCTTTGAACTGGTAACTCTTTACTCAGACTGCTGGTTCAATGAATGCTTAGGATTGTCTCATCTTATTCTTGGAACAAATTTGTATTACTGTCTGCTCTGTGTGGGCATTGTTTTAAGGGATTTGGGGGCACAGCAGTGAACAAAAGTCAAACCACTGCTTTCATGGAATTTGTATTCTTTTTGGTTGGGGCAGCAGTAGGAGAAATAGACAAGAAACAAGTAAACAGGTATTCTTTCTGGTGGGGGTACACACAAAGAAGAAAAAGAACAGGGTGAGGGGACAGAGGTGCTATTCTGGATGTGGATGGGGAGTGCTATTTTGAATATGGCTATCAAAAATAGCTGTGCTATGGGACAATTAAGTAAAGATCTGGAAAGAGAGATGAGTGGGAAAAGGGCAGTCCAGACTAGAGAACCATATTTTTGAGGAATAGCAAAGGGATTAGTAAAGGACAGTGAGGGGCCAGATTGTACAAGCCTGTGATAGTCACAGAATTATTTCATAATGAGCAAGATGGAAAGCCATTGGAGAGCTGAGCAGAGAATTACTTTTAAGGATGATTCTAGTTAGTGTGTGAAGAGCAAGAGTGAAAGCAAGCTGTTGTACTAGGCTGGGGAGAGAGAGCTTAGTTTTGGGTGTTAGCGATGGAAATTGTTGCACTTCACCGGTTTCTGAGGGCAACAGAATTGGCTGATGAGATGTGGGATGAGAAAAAATGTATTTCAGGGTTTCAGTTCTGAACAACTAGAAAAGTAGAGTCACCATTTACTGAGATGGGAAAAACTCAGGGAATGCATGTTTAAGAAGGAAAGAAGAGAGTTTGGTTGGGACCTATTAAGTTTGTCATAACTTTTAGACATGCAGGTGGAGATGATCCTGTCAATAGGGAGCCTGAAATTTTCTCATTTTTAGCTTAATTCAGCAGGGCTGAGAATGACATGACAGGGTGTGGCTGAGAGCCTGTTGTTAGAATGGAGCCCCTTCTCCCTGACATGGAAGCAGCTGGAGAGACCAGTATTCAGAAGAGTCATGTATCAGAAAGCACTCGTCATTTGCACCTCAGCAAGTGTCCTAGTTTGGGAGTTGCCAGTCTACTTTCATAGAGCAGGTTTCTACTGCTGTAGTTGGTAAAATGATCTAAGTCTGCAGCATATCTAACTGGGAACTACTGGGAGTGTGGAGCATCCCCACTCCTATGGATAGTTAAGCTATGGATAACCAGATCGTTTTTAAAAAAGAAACACTTCCAATATGGTACATCCTCAGAAAGGCAATGTTAATTAAGATGGAGAAAGCCAACCCTCCGTTGGGAGTGTGTAGAGGATAAAGACCAGATAAGGGACTGGGCTGTGGCAACACTGTCAATGTGGACCATTGGAAAAAGCTATCAGGACTGATGAAATTATTAGTGACCTAAAGATTTATTCAGCAGGCTGGAAACAGAAACCAGCTGTCTGGCCTAAGCCTCTGGGAATGGAGGAATACATAGCAGTAAACTTGTATGTGGGGTTTATCAGGAAACTGACAAACAGGATGAAAGCTAGAAGGGAATAGAAAGAGTCCACATTAACAATTGAAGGCTGACAGTTTGCTGACTTCTATACTAGAGTAAGCAGAAACACGTGGTCCCAAACTTTTAAGTTCTAGACTTGTAAGGAAAGATTTTAAAAAATCATCCACCAAAATTTGTATAAAATGCCAGCTCTGGTAAACGCTTTGAAGAAATCCATGGGTTACTGAGAAACTGACAAACTGAGGTAGGAAAGGTTTGTTTCTCTGAGGACATTAGAGTTGAGATCTAAAGGAAAGTCAACGAAGGAGGAGGGTGTTACCATGATATGGAAACAGTACAAAGGCCTTATGGTAGAAAGGAGCACAGAAATAAAGCAAAGATACTAGATAGATAATCTGAGTACAGAAACCTAAAGAAATAGGACACCCGGTGAGACAGGAAGAGGCTGGGCATTCAGGGCTCTGAGCCCTACTATGTAGGGTTTTCTGTTTACTAAAAGTGCTGGGAGCTGGGAGGGCGCAGTGGTGCACTGTAATTCCAGCAGCTCAGTAGAGCACTTGCCTCACATGCTAGAGGCCTGGGTTTGCTCCCTGGCCATTGAATGCCTGCTATTTAGCCGCCTCAAGATAGATGGGGATTGACCTAGAGCAGTAAAACCTAAGGTTGAAAGACTTCATTTTCCCATGTCCTCTAGGTCTCTTAGGCAAAGAAAAAGGCCTTATGGTTGAGTTTCAAACAACCTCATGGGTGGTGTCAGTGTTTGTCCTAAGGGTGCATAGAATTCTAAACAGTGCTACACTTAAGATCAAGACCCAGACTAGTTGGGCATAGTGGTGTACGCCTGTAACCTCAGCGACTTGGGATGCTGAGGCAGGAGGAGTGCCTCAGCCACAGCGAGGCACTAAGCAACTCAGTGAGACCCTGTCTCTAAATAAGATACAAAAAAAGGGCTGGAGATGTGGCTCAGTGGTTGAGTGTCCCTGAGTTCAATCCCCAGTTACCATCCCACCCCACCCACACAAAAGTGCTGGGAATCCACTGAAGTATTTAAGCAGGGGGGTGCCATCACAGTGTGGTTTGAAGAGACCAGTCAGGCTTCTATAGAAATAAATGGGAGTTAGACAAGAAAAAGGTGAAAATTCAGAGATTAGAAATCAACCTTAGAAAGAGTACAGTGGCTTGGATAAGAGATTGCCTTGGAAGTACAAAGCAGCAGATGTGTTCAAGATAGGAAGTAAGATCAACAGGACATGGCAATGGATTGGACTGTGTGTGTGTGTGTTAAGAGAAATGATGAGGGCGCTCATTTTTTACTTTATACAGCTAGGTTGACCGTAATATCAATCCCTGAGGTGAAAGAATGCTTCAAGATGACCTCACCCCACACACTGGAATGTGTGTGACAGAATGGAGAGATGCATATTAATGATTTTTGGGGAGAGAAATGGCAAGCAGTGTCCTTAGCTTTGGAGGAGGGCTGTAGTTCTTTTCCTCTGAGCTAGACAGAAGGACCAGGTCAAGCAAGTAGCACTTATGCCTCTTTTTTTTTTTTGGGGGGGGGGGGGGGCGGAGGCACCAGGGATTGAATTCAGGGGCCACTAAGCCACATCTCCAGCCCTATTTTGTATTTTATTTAGAGGCAGGGTCTCACTGAGTTGCTTAGCATCTCGTTTTTGAACCTCAGCCTCCCAAGCCACTGGGATTACAGATGTGCGCCATCGCGTCCCTCTGCCTCTAACTTTTGATGGATTCAGGAAGAAAAATGAGTTTTCTCACCTTTAGCAATTGAGGTATATAATTGCTGGATGGTAAAGTTTTCTGAGCTCTCTAGACAGCTATATTTCCTATAGCTGGCACACTGGAGGCTTTAGATCCACCCTGCCCACTACAGTAGCCATCAGCCACGTGTGGCTATAGATAAATTGAAATGTGATCGCTTCAAATTTAGATGCAATTGTAAAATACACACCAAATTTCTTAAACAGTATGAAAAACTAATATATGATTCACACTACTATTTTTTTTAATATGGCTACTAGAAAAATTTAACTACAGTAGCTCTAATTATATTTCTATGGAAAAGTGCTCGTTTAGACAGAAATCCAAACCAGAATTCAAAGATACATCATCCTATTTCAAACCGCATCTCACCTGCAGAGGTCTCCCATCAGCGGGTTTCTCGCGAACCTAAGTGTGCGGCAGAGGCCGCAGGACTCTAAGGGCGGGCACCGCGGCTCTGGCTCCGCCTCCGCCTCCCGGAGGACTACAAGGCCCAGAGTGCACTGCGCGCATCTGGGGGTGGGCCTGGGAGGCGCAGTCGCTTTAAACGTCACGTCCGCGGTGGCCCTCGGCTTCTGAGCTGAAGCTCGTTCCCTCCCGGGCCGCGCGTCGGGGAGGTGCAATGGGTGCGTCTACTAGGGATGGGAGTCCCCGGGTCAGGGGGCGCGCAGTTGGGGGGTTTCAGGGTCGCTGGGTCAGGTGCCTCGGGACTGGCGTGGCCAGTTCGGTTTTGTATGGGAAGAAGGGACACATGTCACGTGGGAACGGGCCGGTCCACGCCCGGAGTTGTCAACAGGCGCAGCGTGGAGCGCTCTCGTGGCGGGAGCGTGACGTGCAGCCTCGAGCCGCTTCCTCGTGACCCGCGAGTCAGCGCTCGCCTGGTTCCCCCGTGACGGCGCCGGAGCCTCGCGGTCTTCCTTGGCCGCGGATTTAGCAAGGGGTTAGCGAATAGTAGCCTTCCGCTCCACCAAATCCCGGAAAAGCTCCCCTGTAGCTGACTTGACTTTTCTTTGGAAAGGAAGAACGTTCTTCAGCTTGCTGCAGCTGTTAAAAAAATGCGACCTTGTGGGCAAAGGAACGCCTGTTTAACTGAGCTGTTTTATATGAAGGTGTTTTTCAGGCTCTGGAAGGGGTGCAGACTTGAATTATAATGGACCCATTAAAATTTTCATTCATTTTAGCAGCTGCGTGTGTTCGTTAGCATTAGCTAGCTGAATGAGATGATGTAGTTTGGACTGCTTTCTTGGAGACACTGTTTCTTCTGGCAAATTCTCCCTTCCTTGACTGCCTTAGTTTGTTATGTGCATCTTTGCATTATTTTCAGGTGGATGGCAGGGTATCTGCCTTCATAAAATATACTGCTTGTGATGCCTCCCTGGAAATGACAGGGGGGCGTCCCTTCCAAATGAAGGATTTAGGATCTTCCATACTTTTCTTTGCTTCTAAAGATTCAAGACTTCCCGCCTTGGTGGTGCAGGCCTGTAATCCCAGCTGCTGGGGAGGCTGAGGCAGGAGGATGGTGAGTTCAAACCCAGCCTCAGCAATTTATCATGGCCCTAAGCAACTCACGGAGATCCTGTCTCTAATAATATACAAAAAAGGGCTGGGGATGTGGCTCAGTGGTTGGGGGAGGGGAATAGATTCAAGACTTCTGTGGTTCTCTGACTGTAAAATCACAATCTGTCGGGTCTTACAAGATTTTTGTTTAAAATCACTATGGTCCAATTAACCGTTACCATTTATTGCTGTAATAGCAGTGAGTAGAAATATCTATCATTACTTAGTGACTTATTGCAATAATAGCATTGAATAAGTATCTTTCACAAGCTACATACATTTGAAGTACAATATAACCTTTGTTGTTTGTGTTTTGTTTTACAGTGCTTAGCTATATTCCTTGTGGTATGATCACATCTTCTACTAAGAAGCTTTTATATAATTGAGTCCAAGTGAGGTCAGGATGTATCTAGTGAGCACCGATACAACCTAGAGTACAAGAGTTTCCTACAAAATATCCCAGGCCTTTTTCAGGAGTGATCTTTTTTTTCTTTTTTTAATTCATGACCTCATGTGCCCATTACAGTCCTTACGCACCACCAAGTAGATCAAGGTAAATTACCCACAACAGTCATCAAATTTTTTTTTTGTAATATTAATCACAGTTGGTATTAATTGTTCAGCATGGTAGCTTTTATAAATATTATTTGTAACTCTAATTGGTTGCTCTTATCACTGTTTTAAACCATGAGGAAACAAACAGAAAAGTTACCAAGCTACCCAATATTATATAGTTCATTTGTGGAAAGCTGGAATTAGAACCCAGAAAGGGCAACTCCGTGCCTAAACCCTTAAGCACACAGTTCCTCTAAGAACTTTTGACTAGTGGGATACTTCCCAAGGTGATTTTCTAGAGGGAGGTAGAGATTCATTCTGTTGTAGGGAAAGAAGAGAAAAACAAAGTGCTTCTGAAAAGAACTTCTGTCTAAGAAGATAAACTTTGGATGGGTGAGAGTCTGCTCAAAACAAGCTGAGTTCTGCAAACCTTTATGCACTATTTCCAAATGGAAATTAAAGTAGTGAGGACACTTCCCTGTCATTTGCTTTTGTGTTGAGTAGTAGATATACATTCATTGGATATTTGTGAGACATCAAATATTCTTTCGTGAAGAAACAAGGTTTTCTGTGTTTGGGATTTGGGGCTTTAATTTTTCAAATTAAAGATGAGAAGGGGCAGGGAGGTAATGGGAAAAAATTAACTAGAGTTACATATAGGGGAATCTTAATCTGAACGTAATTGGGCTACACTGAAAAAAGACTGTCGAAGCACTGGTGCAAGGCTGTAGATCTGGTACTGGTTCTCCTTTCTATACTTGTGATGGTTGTGGGTTTTGATCAGGGCCTCAGCACCAGCTCCAACCATGTGGACCCCAGATGAGATCGCTCAGCTGTGCTATAAGCACTATGAGATCAGGCTGCCCAAGCAAGGGAAGCCGGAGCCAAACCGTGAATGGACATTGTTGGCAGCTGTAGTGAAGATACAGTTTCCAATTTATGAGGCCAGTGACACTCCTGATAAGCCAGTGCACGGTAAGACCTTTTCTCCTGTCCCTTTCAGAGATGATAGAATTGTGTGTTGCTACTCAGGGACAGTTGTAGGCAGGTTGCAACTACGATGTTAGGCATGTTTCTCTGATATCCACTAGGTGGCGGGAGACCTTTTGTGGGAATCCTCTGCAGAATTATTAAGCCTGAGCACGGGGGAAAATTTAGCCTCTGAGAGCTCACTTAATGATTTGTTTTTTCCTCTCAGTGACAAAGGAAGTTGTCTCAATGGGAACAGGAACGAAATGCATAGGCCAATCCAAAATGAGGAAGAGTGGTAAGCATGGGTAGGGGTCTAAGCAAAGAATTTTCTCCCTGGGAGCTTTGGAAACCAGTGTCCATGTTAACCTTTGCTCTCCTTGTCAGGGAAACAGGGCCATATTAGTTGAGGTAGCTGACCTCTCATTTCCTATTGACTCTCACTCCAATTGGAAGACAGACCTTATTTAAAGAATGGAAATTCAAAGGGAAAGCAGAGGTCACCAGGACCATGCTTTCTGGATGAACTGAAATCTAGTCAGTATTTTCATACTCAAACTACAAGTTCCTTGGGTTTAACTATTCCAGATTATTGCCTGGAAGGCTTTCAGGCTCTGTAGCAGGATGTAGCTCAAGTGGCTTCTGAAGTCCCAGAAGCAATTTTGAGTTAGATGGAGCTTTTGGTACCAACAGAATATGGAAATTCTTTATAGAGTCTGGGATCATTATCTTCTGCTTCTAGTTAGGAGGTACCTTTTTGAGTTTGCTTGCTGCATTCTCTGAGCCTTGCCTCCTATATATGAGGAAGCTGTCCCAGGACAGAATTAGATAGAATCGGAACCATTAGCATAATATGATACCAGATCTTTTGTATATCTGTACCCTGGTCTCCAGGTAGAGATTTTTCTATAAATCAATGTTTTTCATCTAGGGGCAATTTTGCATACCAGGGTACATTTGGCAATGTTTAGATGTGTTTTTTGTGTCACCACTGGGAGAGGGGTATTCTTGGCATCTTTTGAAGTGTCAGGAGTGCTGCTAAACGTCTTGTAATGCATAGGCTAGTCCCCTGCAGCAAAGGATTATCTGTCCCCTGATGTCTATGCCGAGTTGAGAAACCAAGCTGTAAATGCTTTACCATTAATTGTGATACCTTATAGCAAAGCCCTTCAGGAGCTCCATGGCCATCCTGAGTGCTGGGGTACTGCTGTTTTCTGTTTCTAGGAACTAGGGCCTCTCCAGTATGTCTTCCATATGTCTTCACCTACTCCTGTCTTTGCCATAGGAGATATTCTGAACGATAGCCATGCTGAGGTTATAGCCAGAAGGAGTTTCCAAAGGTAAAGCCATATCCCCAGAGAATCTGATTCCCTGGGTTTGGGATGGTGACCCAGAATTGTGTTTCTACTAAACACTCAGGTAATATAGATTGTCAGTCTGTAAACTGCTGTGGTCTAAATTTCAAACTAGAATGTGCATTAGAGTCACCTAGAAAGCTTGATAAAAGCCAGATAGGTCAGTGGTAAACTGCTTGCCTAGCATGTTCGAAGCCCTGGGTTCAATTCCCCAGCATTGAAAACATTAAAAAAAATAAAAAGCTAACCAAATGCAGTAGCACATGCCTGTAATCCCAGTGACTCAGGAGACTAAGGCAGAAGGATCACAAGTTCAAGGCCAGCCTCAGCAGTAAGACAGTGTCTACCCTGGATCTGCTAAATTAGAATCTCTAGGGTGGGTCCATCAGTCTGTGTGGGAGTTTTGTTTTGTTTTTGCAGTACTGAGCTATACCCCCAGCCAACTTGTTCATTCTGGTCATATTTTACAATCCTTAGGTACCTTCTCTATCAGCTGCAATTGGCAGCTACCCTAAACAAGGAGAGTATCTTTGTCCCAGGAACTCAAAGAGGACTGTGGAAACTCAGACCCAACCTCTTGTTTGTGTTTTTCTCCAGCCATACGCCCTGTAAGTATATTCAAGCCTTTGTACTAATGTTGCATTGTTTACTTCTTTATGTTTGTTTTACCCATAGAGATGTTTCTCAGAAATAGTCCTCTGGCTAAAGTATAGCTACAGTAGGTGACAGCGCCTTTTTATGTACCTAGTCAATTCTCTACTGGTGGAAGGCAATGGGCACAGGTAGGGAGAGGTGGATAGAGTCTCACTCATGCAGTTCTCAGAATTAAGCTCTATTAGATATGAAGCCAACGATGGGACTCAGGAGTCCAAAGTCCTGCTATGATAACTTAGCCTGAAACTCGTTTCATTCATTGACTTATTGAACACATTTTCTACTAGCCAGGCACAATGTGACATACTGAATATAGTAACAGTTGCTTATCATAATAGAGTCTTTTAGGCCATGTAGACTGTCCTGGTTATTTAGGGTTAATGTTATTGAGTTATTAGGGGATGTTCAGGAGCTATAGTCTCAGGAGTTATAGTCTCAGCAACTTAGCTAAACTCTTGTCTCAGAAATAAAATAAAAAGGGCTGGAGATGCAGTTCAGAGGTAGAGTACCCCTGGGTTCAATCTCTAGTACCAAAAACAAAAAAACAGAAGAACAGACCTAGATAACCTAAGGGGTCATTTCTTTCTTCTGTTTTTCTTTCTCAAAAGCTGAAAATACTGCCTATTCTTTGTAAACAACAACTCAGTGTTGGCAGTAGAATTTCTTCACCCTAAAAACTTTGACATAAGGATATAAGATTGTCTTCTGGGTATTGAACTTTAATGCAAGTAAAGCAGAGATGGGTAATCATTATAAAGAGACAAAAGAACTGTCAAGATTTGATCATAATGCAGGTTGAAAATATTGTTATAGCTCAAAAAAGAATAAGGATGGAGGGCTGGGGATGTGGCTCAAGCGGTAGCACGCTTACCTGGCATGCGTGCGGCCCAGGTTCGATCCTCAGCACCACATACAAACGATGATGTTGTGTCCGCCAAAAACTGAAAAATAAATATTAAAATTCTCTCTCCTCTTCCTCTCTCTCTCTCTCTCTCTCTTCTTTAAAAAAAAAAAAAAAAAAGGATAAGGATGGAAACGAGTTGATTAAGAGTAGAAGTCAAGGGGTGGGGTTGTGGCTCAGTGGGAGAGTGTTTGCCTCACATGCATCAGGCCCTGGGTTTGTTTCTCAACACCACATAAATAAGTAAAAAATAAAGGTATTGTGTCCATCTACAACAAAAAAATTAAAAAAAAATAGAAGTCAAGAAAAATGACATGTAGATAGGGCTCATCTGTGCTCTATCCAGGACTGTGGGTACACTAGTCCAAGGACCAAAGGATGTTTCCTGGTCAGTGCTTCTCAAACCATAATATGCACACAGATCATCCACAAATGTTAAAATTCAGTCAGTAGGTTTGGAGTGAGGTCTGAGGTTCTGCATTTCTAACCAACTCAGAGGATGCCAGTAATGATACTCTATGGGTCACACTTTAAGTAGCCAGGGCTTGGGTGGTCCCCATCTTACTTTGAAGACAGATGCATCCAGGGTCAGACTGATAGCCCAACCAAACTATATAAACCAGCAGTCCACAGATGTGCTGATCTGTGAGTCCATGGCAAAATAAGAGAGTTGTTGGGTTCGCTAAACTTAAAAGACTTTTCTTTCTCCTTCCTTCCTTCTTTCCTTCCTTCCTTCCTTCCTTCCTTCCTTCCTTTATGGTGCTCCCATTGGACCCAGGGCCATAAGCATGCTGGGCCAATGCTTTACCACTACACTACACTCTCTGTTATCTTAAAATTTTACTCTGGAAATTAAAGACAACGACAACAATAACAAACAAAAATCTTCTGGAAATTTGGCTGGTCGGTGAAATCAAAATCTGGAACCACTGATCTGATTTCCTTTCCTTTTGAGTAATCTTTTAAAATGCATCATCCCCCATAGCTTATGTGCAGGAAGAAAGCACATACTACTTGGAGAATGTGACTCTCTGGCTCCCTGGGCATTTACTTCTCATTACTAATTAATAATTTGGTGCCTTGGTGAGCTACTTCAGACTCTTACTTGTGAATTTTATTAGCATGAGTCAGCCTCTCCTGTTCATTCTGTCAAGATCAAATAATCTCTCAGCCTAGAGTGGGAGGTAGACCACAGCAAATTCTGTCAGCAAAGTTGCTGTCACCTTGTGAGGTCTGTGGAAGTCAGCCGGCCAGCCTCTCTGGCAACACTTCCCACTTGTACATCTCTTGCCTTTCCCTCTCTGACATTATAAAGACAACAGATGTATTATTTACACACTTAAAAAAGCAACATACATTAGATTAGTGTTTGAAGAAATCACTTCCTTCTCAAGGGAAATGGTGCTTCTTACTAACCTCTGGTTTTCTTTGGGTCCCAAAGAGTAAATCAGAAATCTCTATAGACAAGCACAAGGGGAGACACTGGAGTTTTGGAAACACTGGTTTGGACTAGTGTGGTATAATTTACTGCAGACCCTCTACTGTGGGAATATGTATCATAAAGTCTCCCAGAGAGGACATTTTGAGCAATGTTTGCCAAATTTGTTTAATTATGAAATAAACCACCCACTTTTGTTTTTCCAAGTCATCATATGGGATAGCAATCCACAAAATGCAGCTCAGTGGCAGAGTGCTTGCCTAGCATGTGTGAGGCACTGGGTTCAATCCTCTCAGCACCATATTAAATTTTTTTTTGATGTTGGAGATTGAACTCTTTTTTTTGGTACCAAGGATTTTGAACTCAGGGGCACTCAACCACTGAGCCACATCCCTAGCCCTTTTTTATATTTTATTTAGATTTAGAGACAGGGTCTCACTGAGTTTCTGAGAGCCTTGATTAATTGCTGAGGCTGGCCTCCAACTAGGAATCCTCCTGCCTTAGCCTCCTGAATTGCTGTGATTACAGGATGCACCACCACACCCTCCTGAAACCTTGCTCATTCTAAATCAGTGGTTCTCAGCTGGGGAAAATTTTGCTCCCTGGGGGACATTTGGAAAATATCTGGAGACACTTGATTATCAGATTGCAGGGCTGTGGGCATCTAGTAGATAGAGACCAGGGATGCTACTGAATTTTCTCTAGTATATGGAACAACACCCAGAATTCTCAGAGCCAGCAGCTCTGAGGCTGAGGCAGGAGGATCCCAAGTTCAAAGCCAGCCTTAGCAACTTATGAGTCTGTAAGCAATTTAGCAAGATCCTATCTCAAAATAAAAAATAAAAAGGGCCTCACTGAGTTGCTTAGAGCCTCACTAAGTTGTTGAGGCTGGCTTCAAAACTACAATCCTTTGTCTCAGCTTCCTGAGCCACTGGGACTATGGGTGTGTGCTACCACACCCAGCTTAAGATCTTTTTTTTATATTGAGTTTTCCATACTTCTCTCCTCCAGAAACTTCAACTCACTGGATCTAGGACAGAGTCTTCAACAAGAACCTCAGGCATTCTTAAGGACATTTGCTCTTAACTCATCTCAGATTAGCTGGGAGAACAGATTGATCTTGATTTGAGGCAATGATCCTCAAACTTGGGCTGGTGTCAGAATCACCTGGAGAGATTACTAAAACAGACTGCTGGGACCCCCTTCAGAGCTTCTGATTCAGAAGGTCTACTTTGGGTCCCAAGGTTTTGCACTTCCAGCAAGTTCCTGAGGGATGCTGATATGGCTGGTCCAGATGTCTCACTTTGAAAACCATTAGTTTAAATGTTCCCTCTTCTGCAGGTGGCGATGCCTCCATCATTCCAATGCTTGAGTTTGAAGAACAGCCTTGCTGTCCTGTCATCAGAGATCAGGATAGCAGTTTATCATTAGAAGACAGTGGTAATGTGAAGACTCCTGAAAATGAAAGGAAACACGAAGACCCTGACGGTCCTGTAACCAAAAAGATGAGGCTTGAGCCTGGAACTCCTGCCAGGTTCTTCACCAATGGCACAGCTCAGCATGGCAAGCAAGACAGTGGCTCATTTGCATCAGGTGTCAGAGGCTCTAACCTCACTGTAGAAAGACTGGCCGATGTCGCCTGTGGAGCTCCCAGGAGTGCCACAGTGGTGGACATTTATAGAACTGGAGCCAAGTGTGTGCCTGGAGAAGCTGAAGACTTGAGGAAGCCAGGTGCTGCATATCACCAGGTGGGGTTGCTCCGAGTGAAGCCAGGCCGGGGAGACAGGACCTGCTCCATGTCATGCAGTGACAAGATGGCCCGATGGAATGTCCTTGGATGCCAGGGTGCACTTTTGATGCATTTCTTAGAAGAGCCCATCTACCTGTCAGCTGTGGTCATTGGGAAGTGCCCATACAGCCAGGAAGTCATGCAGAGAGCACTGATTGGAAGGTGAGAGGGCAGGGAGGAAGGGCAGTTTGAGAATATATTCAGAGAGCCTTAAAAGTTTCCATACCTTGCCAGGCACTTGGCAAGTAGCGAATGCCTGTAATCCCTTAGGCATGGGAGGCTGAGGCAGGAGGATTATGAGTTCAAAGCCAGCCTCAGCAAAAGTGAGGCACTGAACAACTCAGACCCTGTCTCTAAATAAAATACAAAATTGGGGGGTAGGGTTGTGGCTCAGCAGTAGAGCACTCGCCTAGCACATGTGGGGCCCTGGGTTCAATCCTGAGCACTACATATAATTAAATAAAATAAAGGTATTGTGTCAACTACAACTAAATACACACACACACACACACTCACACAAAATTACGCTGGGGCTCAGTGGTTAAGTGCCCCTGAGTTCAATCCCCGGTACCAATAATAATAATAATAATATTATTGGGGCAGAGTGTGGTGGCACATGCCTCTAATCCCAGTGACTCAGGAGGCTGAGGCAGGAGGATCACAAATTTGATGCCAGCCTCAGCAACACAACAAGACCCTCTCTCAAAAAATAAAATAATATACCCTATTTTATTCAAATGTATGATATGTCAAGATCATTGTACTGTCATGTGTAACTAATTAAAACAAATTAAAAAAAGATATAATATTTAAAGACCAATTGAGGACATAAAATGAGCTCCATTTTGATCTTGAAGTATATATATACATAGAAATCTGTAGGAGGATGTTCACCAAGATATAAGTGATGATTATCTCCAAGTTGTGTATTGTGAGGAATTTTTTCTTTGTTATTACTATATTTCCAATTTTTATAGAGTATACTTATGTTGTCAGTATAGTATAGAACCCTTCAATATTAATTTTAATTTTTTTAAAAAGGTGAAGAATTACTGCACTGATGAGTTTTCCCTAAGGGAGGCAGCCAAGCCTGATTAATGCTATAGTAAATGAGAACCAGGAGAAGCCATGGCCAGGGAAGTGTCATGGGCTCATGTGAAACATACAGCCTCTGGAGGAGATTCTAAAAAGCAGCACCTGAATATGACCCAGCAGTTCCACTCTTCAGTACAATCCCAAGAGAAATGAAAACATATACCCCACAAAAACATTATGTATTACTTATGATAGCCAAAAAGTGAAACAGCCCAAATGCCCATCAGTGGATAAACAGATAAAAAGAATGCAGCGTATCCATACAATCAAATATTCAGCTATAAAATGGATAGGAGTGCTGAACCTTGAAGACACCTTGCTGAGTGACATTAGCCACATGGTGTATGATTTCATTCATACAAAATGTCCAAAAGAGGCAAATCATGGGGCTGGGGTTGTAACTTAGTGGTGGAGTGCTTACCTAGTAGGGTGAGGCACTGGGTTAGATCTTTAGCACCACATAAAAAATGCATAAATAAAAGGTATTGTACTCATCTACAACTAAAAAAAATTTTTTTTTAATTAAAAAAAAAGGGCAAATCAAGACAGATTAGTAGAGGGGAGGGGAGGGGGGATAGTAGAGGATAGGGAAGGCAGCAGAACACAACAGACACTAGTATGGCAATATGTAAATCAATGGATGTGTAACTGATGTGATTCTGCAATCTGTATATGGGGTAAAAATGGGAGTTCATAACCCACTTGAATCAAAGTGTGAAATATGATATATCAAGAACTATGTAATGTTTTGAACAACCAACAATAAAAAATTTAAAAAAATTAAAAAAAAAAAAAAAACAGATTAGTAGACGCCAGGGGCTGGTGAAGGAAGCAGAGTGACTGCTAATGGGTGTGAGGTTTCTCGGACTTGGAGTTGCTATCTACACAGTTTTACACCAGCATCATGTTGGCATCTAATGTGTGCAAAAGATACAAAAGGAAAAAAAATAAGCTTTTCATTTGGCAATATTTTCAGTTTCTGGTGTGTTTGAAGGACTTCCTGGAAAGCAGTTGCCAACAGGTTAAAGATTCTGCTTTGGGCTGGGGATGTGACTCAAGCGGTAGCGCGCTCGCCTGGCATGCGTGCGGCCCCGGTTCGATCCTCAGCACCACATACAAACAAAGATGTTGTGTCCACCGATAACTAATAAATAAATAAATATTAAAAAAAAAAAAAAGATTCTGCTTCAACTTTCTCAAACCTTTAGCAAGAATGTATTTTGAGGGCTGGGATTATGGCTCAGTGGTAGAATGCTCGCCTAGCATGCTTGAGGCACTGAGTTCAATCCTCAGCACCACATAAATGTAAAATAAAGATATTGTGACCATTTTAAAAACTAAAAAATAAATATAAAAAAAAATAATGAATTTTGATATGACGTAGACTCAATTCTTAGTCATCCCTTCAGAGTGATAGGAGGGGCCTTCCTCTACCCATAGGCGCTTACCATGTAGATTTAGTCCTGGCACACATTCTGGTCCCCAACATAATGAACAAGTAGATTCACACATCTCCCAAGGCCTTTGCCTCCCGCTGAGGCTCAGGGATGATGATGTGGTCCACAGTCCTAGATCAGTCTTTCTGGAGAAGTGCACCTGAACTGAATACATTTTCCTTCATGTTTAGGTGTCAAAATGTCTTGGCTTTACCCAAAGGTTATGGAGTTCAAGAACTGAAAATACAGCAGTCAGATTTACTGTTTGAACAGAGTCGCTGTGCAGTGCAGACAAAAAGGGCTGACAGTCCCGGCCGACTTGTTCCATGTGGGGCAGGTAAGGGATCCAGGTTGGACTTGCCTAGTATAACTTCTCCCCTGACAGACTAGTCTGGGAGGGTCTGCATCCTCCCAGCTTAAATAGGCAGTTTACCACTCTAGTAGTCAACAGTGGAAATGCCCACACCAGGTTAAGTTTATGGCTATGTGACCCTGAGCAAATGAGTTACCTCTCCTGGCCTCAGTTTCTTTATCTTCACATTTGAAGAGTATTATTTATTGTGTTTATTATGAGGACTAAGAAATTCTATCACGTGCATTTACTCTGTGTCTAGAATGTAATAAATTTTCAATGAAATTATAAGTTATTATGATAATGAATCCTGAACCACTTTATACTGTCGTACCCTAGAGGCCAGACATCAAAGTAAAATTATCCAGCTCTCATGGTCATGTAGAGTCAGAGAAATATTTTTATTAAAATTTTCTGGCATTCATTGGAAACAAACCAGTTTTAACCACAGAATTTTACCTTTTTGCAGCTATCAGCTGGGCTGCAGTTCCTGAGCAGCCATTGGATGTTACTGCCAATGGCTTTCCACAGGGAACAACAAAGAAAGGAATTGGAAGTCTTCAGGCCAGGTACAGCATGTTGGGGCATGAAGAGATGGTGACTGTGAACTTACACCTTCACTGAATAATTCCAGAACATTTTCATTGCCACCCCCCGCACCAAGAAAACTTTATCCATTAGCAGTTAGTTACCTGCTCCTTCCTCTCCCTAGCACTTGGAAGCTTAATTCACTTTCTGTCTTCTTGGGTTTGTCTCCTGGACAGTTCATATGAATGGAACTGTACAATATGTGCCCTTTTGTGTGTGGCTTCATTCACATAACTTATTTTCATGGTTCACTCATGTTGTAGCATGTATTAGTACTTCATTTCTTTCTGTGGTTAAAAATATTCCGTTATATGAATATGCCACTTTTAGCTCATCCATTCATGAATTGATGAGTACTGGGGTTGTTTTACTTTATTTTTTGTCTATTGTGAATAATGTAGCTATGCCATTTCACATTCCCACCAACAATGTGAAAGGGAATTCCATTACCCTCCATCCTGTGCAATTCTTGTTATTGTCTCTTTTTTATTGTAGCTATTCTACTGAGTGTGAGGTAGTATCTCATTATGGTCTTGATTTACATTTCCCTAATGACTAATGGTGTTCAGCATCTTTTTATGTACTTATTATCCATTTGTTGTAAGCTGCTGCTACTGCTGCTTTTTTTTTTTTTTTTGTACCAGGGATTGAACTCAGGAGCACTCGGCCACTGAGCCACATCCCCAGCCCTATTTTGTATTTTATTTAGAGACAGGGTCTCACTGAGTTGCTTAGCTGTTGCTGAAGATGGCTTTGAACCCGTGATCCTCCTATCACAGCCTCCTGAGCTGCTGGGATTACAGGCATGAGCCACCGTGCCCAGCAGCTTCTTTTTTGGTCTAGAAATTGAACCCAGAGGTATATAACCACTTAGCCACATCCTCAGCCCTTTTTAAATTTTTTTATTTTGAAACAGGATCTCACTAAATTGCTGAGGCTGACTTTGAACTTGGGATCATCTGCCTCAGCCTCTCGAGCTGACATGATTATAAGGTGTGTGCCACCACCATGCCTGGACATTTTTTATCTTCTTAAGACAAAATATTTGTTCCCATTCTTTGCCCACTTTGTTAATTTGTTTATCTTTTTAGTTTGCATTTTAAGCCTGCTTTATATACTGTGGATACTAGTCCTTTATCAGATATGTGATTTGCAGATATTTTCTCCAGTTCAATGAGTTGTCATTTCACTTTATGATCATGTCTTTTAAAGCACAAAAATTTAAAAAAATTTTGATGGAATTAACTCTACGTATTTTTTTCTTTGGTTGATTGTGCTTTTGGTGTAATACTGAAGAAACTATTACCTAATCAGATTTCCTCAATGTTTTCTTCTAGTAGTTTTGGGGGTTTTGCTCTTATAGGTTAGAGCCTTTGATCCATCTTGAGTTGATTTTTCTGTGTGGTGGATATCCTCACCACATGTATGTGCATACCCAGTTGTCCCAGCACCACTTTCTTGGAAAACCTGTTTTTTCCCTAGACAGATTTTTAAAAGAAAAATCCCTCCTTCACTAGGGATTCTGATTTATGTAGGTCGGCATCGGCCAAGCAGCAGCATTGGTGAAGCTCCCCAGTGATTGGGTTGGCAAAAGGGCATCTGGAAACAGGACTCTGCCTCTTCAGGCTGGCTCTTGCTGAAGTGTAGGGTTTGCGGGCTGCTAAACGTGAGACCCAGGTTTCATCCCTGCAGGTTCGTGCCTATGCCCATGGGGCACCCTTTCTATTGCCTGGCCAATGTAGTCCCAATGCTTTTCCCTCCCTGTGAGCCAGACGTGGTCTGTAGTAGCTGGGGTGAGAGGGCTTCAAGGGAGAGGCTGCTCCACCACAGGCATTTTTGTCTGTTTGGATTGAATTGTCACCAGTGTGACTGCTCTGGAACTCCTACAATTTACAAGTAGTCCTTTTTATTCTAAATCACTTTTCCATTTCTTTGTTATACCTTTTAAAAAGTTGTATTGTAATTTAAGTTCACAGATGGATTTGTTTTTTGTTTTGATGTGCTTATTTACCTGTCTCAAAACAACCCATAAAACCCAACTTGTATTCATTTCTTTAGTGTTTTGTTTTTTAAACTAAAGGTTTTCTCCTCACAGCCACTAAGTGCCAGGGTTCAGACAGCCTACATAGCAGACCCTGCCTATCCCTAGAAGCCTAGGCTGTTGAACTGGAATCTTTTTCTTTCTTCCTTTCTTTCTTTTTTTTTTTTTTTTTGTGGTGCTGGGGATTGAACTCAGGGCCTTGTGCATGTGAGGTATGACTCTACCAACTGAGCTATATCCCCAGCTGAAATTTTTTTTAAATATTTTTTTAGTTGTAGATGGACATAACTTTTGTTTGTTTATTTTTATGTGGTGCTGAGGATCTAATCCAGGGCCTCACACGTGGTAGGCAGGCGCTCTACCACTGAGCCCCAGCTGAAATTTTTTGGAGTAAAGATATTTAGACCACTCTTTCCCCAGGGGAGTTCCTGGTTTCAGGACACTTTTTGTACTTTTCAGGGAACCAGCTCTGAGCATAGAGCAGGATGTGTGAGCAGAGTGGGTCATGAGGGACAGGACCACAGGTTTCCTGCTGATCTCTGTGTCTGTTGTCAGTGACAGCCTTGCATCTCCTCATGTTGGCCCCACCCAGCTGAGTGTGGCTTCCTTTTGCTGCTTTGCTCAGGAAAAAAAAAAAAATTGTTCTTCTTTGCTGTGAGTCTAAAACCTTTAACCTGAAGAACTCCTCTCAAATACCACTGCCTTCTGGCTCAAAATCTGTCTTTCTTAAGATTCCTATGGTGCTTTTCTGCAGAATGTCCCAGTATGCCAGTCTTACCTGTATGATTGAGAATGCCTCATGTTCTGATCCTGCCTCTGTCTCCTAACTGTCTGGGTTATTTGAGGCAAATCCAGTTGCTCTCTGGGCCTCAGTATATTCATATCTGTAAAATGAGGATAGACGATCTGAGGCCTGACATATTGTGGATGTTTCTCCATTTAGAAGGCAAACTCCAAGCAGGGAGGAAGTATAAAAAGAGTAGAAGCTTTGGGATTGAAGAGATCAATGTTTAATTACTGACTTTCTTTCTCCCCAGTGATATGGACTTGAGCAAATTATTCGATCTTTGTGAACTTGTTTCCCCAACTATGAAGCAAATTAGCTGCTAGTATCTATCCCACAGGAATAATGTGAAATTGAGTAAGATGGAGTACATTAGAGTGTGCAGTTTTTGTCAAAATCAGTTTCCCTTTTAGTCATCAGATGAAGCTTTATATCATTATAACGCATGAAGGAAGCAGAATTGCCTTTATTCTAAGACCAACAGCTGCTTCAGAGAAAGATTTTCTCACTGCTCATCCCTGAGTGCCAGCATTGTGGGACCACCTTCTGTGGAACTACAGGGAATAGAAATCCTAATGGGTTTAGAGATAATGTGGTAGACTAGTGTAACATTAGAAGGAAATATTTAAATCTTTGTGTATTTTTACCAATAATGGGATAATAATAGGAAGTAGATAAGGTCTCATTTTTTTCGTTGCAGATGGACACAATATCTTTTTTTATTTTTATGTGGTGCTGAGGATCGAACCCAGTGCCTCACATGTGCAAGGCAAGTGCTCTGCCTCTGAGCTAAAGCCCCAGCCCAAGAGCTCATTTTTGAAAAGCTTAATTTTACTCTGCCTTTCTTTGCCCTGAAGAGACAAATTCTCTTCCCATGCCAGTAGAGAATATCCTGGAGAGATCATTATAGGGTTTGTTGACTCATAAGAGCATGAGGGACTTTTAGAAAAATCCAAGTGTGTCTGAGTATGCTAGTAAGGAGAGTGCTGTATTTAAAATGTCGGTTTGAATTCACAAGCATATATGTATGTGTAGTTTTCCTTGCTCTTTTTCTGGTACCAACTAGTGATTTTAAACAATTCACAAGGAAGAACCTAATACTTCAGAATGTTATCCTCCTTGCCAAAAGGACCCAGGGCTCCCTGCAGAGCAGCAGCTAACAGCCACCTAGAAATTATCAGCCTCCTTGGATAACGTCAGTAGCTTTGTTGAGCAGGTCTCTCTCTGACTTACCAGTGCAGTCATTGTGTTCTGCTGTTGAATAGGGCTTGAGAAAAGGCTTGCTTCTTTGGAGAGAGCTCTCCAGCAGAGGAAAGGTTCCCAGCATTCCCAATTTACCTTATTTTATTTTATTTTTTCCAGTGTTGGCAATCAAATCCAGGGTTTTACTCATACTTGGCAGTCACTCTACCACTGAGCTATCCTCCCATACTCCCAATCTATCTTTATAGATGTAACATCTTAACAATACTGATAAGGTGACCTAGGCTAAAAGTGTTCTTCTGGAAAGCAGAGTGTTGAAAACTTATATAGATCTAGTCTTGAGATATGTACAGTAAGACTTAAAAGTTAAGCTATCTAGCACAATGACTTCTGCAGTAAGGCTGGAGGTCTTGACATTCCACTGCCATCAGAGTGGTAAATAGAATTCAGTAGGTCTTTTTCCAGTGAGATTTAGGAGGCATGTTGAACCTTGATGTGGATCTGTTCTCCAGGCTGCAGATCATACACGGTTGGTTACTAAGGCTCTTGTTATTGTGACTGAAAGGCCTCAACATATTTCACTAATACTCAGTAATAATTTAATAAATTGTTCTCTGATATTTGATCATTGGTGGCTACTGGGTAGTGTGGACTCACCTATTAATATATCAAAAGGAAATATGAGCATCCTGGATAGCATATTAGTTTATTTTTTTTATGTTCCTTCTTTGTTGATTCTCTGTGGTATGAGCAGGAGAAATATTGAGTCTATAAGACTTTCCAGACTTTTGATCAATAAAATGTACTGTCCTGTTACCAAAAATGGTGTGGAGTCTCAAATCTGAAGATGAACTCTTGATTCTAGCTAATGAGGAACATAGCTGGGCATCCTTTTATCTACTTGAGAGCATATGTACAGTAAGACTTAAAAGTTATTCATTTTCAGGCTGGGGTTGTGGCTCAGCAGTAGAGCGCCCACCTAGCACATGCAAGACCCTGGATTCCATCCTCAGCACCACATAAAAATAAACAAGTAAAATAAAGGTATTGTGTCCAACTACAACTAAAAAATAAATATATATTTTAAAAAGTTATTTGTTTTCATCTGGGAAAAGTTAGCCTAGATACATAGTACTAGCTGTATTCAAAAATAAATAAATAAATAAATCCTAAATCTTCCCTCTTTGAGGATCGTGAACTCTCCTGGCTTTCTTTATGCTTAATGTTTCTATTAGCTATGAACATTATTCTCTTGCTCCATTTTTATGCTCAGGTCGTTCAGGGAGCCCCATTTCTTTGTCTTGAAAGAGATGTTCCCTGCTCCCAGATACAGGATCCACTCTCCCTTGTGCACTTCCATGGATGGTAACATCAGGATCTAAAATCCATAGAGGAATGATGCGTGTTTCTTGCTGTTCCTGTGGTGTCAGCTTAATGTAGCCAGTTTGTTCTTTCATGAGTGCATCAGGCAAATGTTTTTAAAGCTGAAAATCTTGATTAAAATTAATTGTTTGGTTGTTTTTTAGTTAATAGCAAAATTATATACACATTTATACTTAAAACAACTAGATGGATGAAAGATACAATGTTACAGTTGCCTTTGGTGCCCACCCTTTGGATATATTTTCTCCAATGTTTAACAGATCACTTTTTTCTTGAGTAATAATTTCTGAATAAAACTTAGTTCAGCTGCACTTGACTAATGTAGCTATATAAACTCCAAGGACTTAGTTGTATAGCTTAAGCATTAGTTCCAGGGAATTAATATTTCAGTCTGACAGTTCTTAATTTATGGCAGCTTTAACTATAGAACCTTATTTGTGGTTTTAGCTCTTGGTGGATAAATTTTTTATTAAAAATAAAGATTTCAGTTCTTTATTAAATGGTGGGGGAAAATATAAGCATTTTGAGATAATAGGGTGTTTTTGTTGTGTTTTGTTTTTGGTCCAGTATCTTTGTGGTGCACCTGCAGTGACCCAGTGTATGGTTATATATTAAAGATTCCTGTATGCAATAAAAAAAACTTCCTGTTGTGAGCGATTTAGAAAGACTCTGTCTCAAAATAAAAAATAAAAGAAGGGCTGGAGATGTAGCTCAGTGGTAAAGCACCCCTGAGCTCAATCCTTAGTACCATTAAAAAAGAAAATAACTGGGCTGGGTTGTGGCTTAGTGGTAGAGTGCTTGCCTAGCATGTGTGAGGCACTGGGTTCAATTCTCAGCACCACCTATAAATAAATGAATAAAATAAAGATCCATCAACATCTAAAGAAATTTAAAAATAGATAAATAAAGAAAATTTTTAAAAAAAGAACCTCCTGTCAAACAGACTCATTTTATTCTTTGTAGAAGTAGAAACTACAGTTATTTTATTCGAATTTTATGCCTTAAGTGAACACTTATGTCAAATCAAGGGATCCTATATATGTGAATCTGTTATGGCCGTCTATTCTATTCCATTGTTCTGCTTATCCTCATACCAAAATCATTCTCTTCACCCTGGCTTTATAATAAGACAATTTATGTTAGAGCTACTCTCCTTGGCATGTCTTTGAAGAGTGCCTTGTGTTGTTTTTTGGTACCAGGGGCACTCTACCACTGCATTACATACCCCCAGCCCTTTTTAGGCAGGGTCTTGCTAAGTTGCTGAGGCTGGCCTTGAACTTGGGATCCTCTTGCCTCAGCCTCCCAAGCTCCTAGGATTACAGGCCTGCACCACCACACCCAGCTGGACCTTTAAATTTAAAGGAAAATTGTCTTCTTTCAGCATTGTCTTCCAAACAGGGAATATGGTATATCTGTCTATAACACTGGTGCCTCAGATTTATAACAAGTAGTTTGAGTATCCATTTATTTAGATCGTCTTAGATATTTTTCAGTAAAGTGTTTTTGATTCTATAATATTTTTTATTGATAGTTGCAACCCAAGAAGAAAATTTTTTTATAGAATTATTCCATCACTTAACATACTATTGGCTGTTTTATAGTCTCAATGAATTTTTATTATTTTCTTTATATAAATATCTCACATCTTTTATTAGATTTATGCGATGAATGTGCATTAGTTATATGTTGCTGAATAATAAATTGCTGCAAAAATAGCAGCTTGCTGTGCATAAATCCTAGCAACTTGGGACGCTGAGGCAGGAAAATTGCAAGTTCAAAGCCAGCCTCAACAATTTAGCAAGGCCCTAAGCAAGATAGCAAGACCCTGTCTCAAAATTAAAAATAAAAATGGCTGGGAAAGTGGTTCAGTGGTTTGGCATCCCTAGGTTCAATCCCTAATGCCAAAAGAAAAATAGCTTAAAACAACAACTAATAGTTATTATTTATTTCACAATTTCTGTGGATCTAGAATTTAGGATGAACTTAGCTAGCTAATTCCAGCTAACAGATTTGAGAGTTTGTAGTCCTTTATGTTAGCTGGGCTATAGTCCTCTGAAGGAGTAACTGGGACTGGAGGATTCCATTACAAAACAGATGACTCACGTGGCCCACAGATCAGGCTCAGCTGCTGGCAGGGGAGTGGTGCCACTTGGTGGTGGCTGCTACTCCACAAAAATGATCCACTAGAGCAAGGCAGAAGCCACAGTGACTTTTATGATCTAACCTGAGAAGTCACACTCCACCACAATATCCTAATGATTATGTACAGGTCAGGCCCATTTCCCTGTAGGAGGGGATTGCACAAAGGTACAAATACCAAGAGGCAGGAATCACTGGGGACCATTTTGCAGGTTGACTACCCTAGGTGCTATTTTAAGTAGTTTATTTTTATCTCATTTTCTGGTCATTGCTTTTGTAATCTTTTTCCTTTTTGTGGCATTTAATGCTTGAATCCAGTAATCTTATTAACTACTTATTCTATTAATTTGGGAGTTCTTTTGGAATTTTCTAAGATAGTCTTCTCTAGATAGTGTTCCCTTTCCAATCTTCTACTCCTTTTATTTACTTTTCTTAACTGTGCTGACTAGAACTGACAAACATAATGTCACAGTCATCTGCAAATAATGATTTTATTTCTTAATCTTTTTGTTTGTTGGTTTGTTTTGTGCTGAGGAGTAAACATGGGTCTTCATGAATGCTAAGCAGTTGCTCTACTACTGAGCTACACCCTCAGGCCTTTTCCTACATTTATTTTATCTTGTTCTACTGACTACAGCCTTCTAGCAATGTTGAATAAAAACAGGGATAGAATCTTGTCTTATTCATGTTTTTTTTTAATGTTTTAGTTGTAAATGGACACAATACCTTTATTTGATTGATTTTTTTTTTTTTATGTGGTGCTAAGGATTGAACACAGTGCTTCCATATAGGCAGGCGCTCTACCACTGAGCTACAACCCCAGCCCTTCCTTATTCATGATTTTAAGGACATTTATGTGTTATGAGTTTTTAATAGACATCCTTATGAACTTCATATTTTTCCTATGCCTAGTTTGATAAAAAGTTTTAAATCATTCAGTGGATATTGAATTCTATCAAATGTTTTTTCTGCATGTTTCTCATGTTATTTTTCTCCTTTAATCTGTTAAGGGGAGTTCCTTTGTTTTTTGTTTAGTTTTCATGTTGAAGCAGTCTTATGTTTCTGAATACTAGCAGCCACTTCAGCATAGTTCAGGCCGAGGGACAGCACCAGGTGAGGGCTCAAGGTTCCCTGTAAGCAGTGATTCCTGAAGTGGGCCAGGTCCCAGCCAGGCACAGAAGCTCTTGGCAGACTGTGTGATTCTCCATTTCATACATACCAGTTGTGCGTCCAAGCTGAGAGTATGATTTGCTAGAACGATGCAGAGTACAGCATATAAGGATGCGACTGTACACTGTTGAGCATTTGTAAAAGCATCTCATATATTGTGCATATGAGGGAAAAGAAAACAACACACAACAGTCAAGGCACATCTGGCATGGATGAGCAGCAGTCAAGAAGGCCCAGGTAGGGTTGTAAGCAGTCACTCACTCACTCTTTAAGTATTAACAGTCTGACATCTGTCCAGAAGTTTGTTGTCTGGGAGCAGTGGCTTCGCCTCTAGAAGCCCAGAGTGCCTATAGACTCTGTTTCAGGTGGCTGGTCCAAATGAACTTAGAACTACAGTTCACACAAGGAACAACACTCATGTCTCTTGAGTTTTCCACCTCTTGTAAACCATATTACTGACACAGACAAGCTCCTTTAAAAGGAGTAGCTACTGGACAACATAACAGGTTCCCATCTCAAAGGGAAAAAAATCTTTTGGGGCTAGGGGTGTAGCTCAGAATATCTGCTTAGCATGCTTAAGGCCCTGGGTTTGATCCCTAGCATATCAAAAAAAAGAAGAAGAAAGAAGGTAACCAGGTGTGTCTTAGGAACTCTCTCAGTGTACTCCATTGAGTCTGTTACCTTAATGATTCCAGTGCTAATGACATTTCTTAAACTGAGTCATTTTTTGTACTTCAACCTGATCAGACATCCCAAGTCTAGATTTTCTCCTTGCCAAGTACGGACAGAAGGGGGCTCTTGACACTTTCAAACCTAAATACCATGTAAGTCCTATATCTCTGAATAGGGGCCTAGTACATAAGCAATCATCTTTGCCTTCTTTTTCTGAGCAGATCCCGAATCAGCAAAGTGGAACTCTTCAGATCATTCCAGAAGCTTCTGAGCAGCATTTCAGAAGACAAGTGGCCAGACTCCCTCAGGTGACGCTGTTGACCCACATTTTTCATGTTTGGGAACATTTCTGTTTTGGTTTGGGCTTGTGAACAGCAGGAAGCTTTGGCAAGAATGGCGGTTCAGCAAGCCAGTTGGGCACTTAATTATTGACCACATGTTTTTCTGTATCCACAGCTCTGCCTGCAGAGAATGGGAATTTGGAAGGTTTGTGTCTGGTCTTGCTGAAGTGAACAAGGGGGACATTCTTGAGTCTTAAGTCATAGAAACAAAAGCAATTTTTTTTTGCAATGAACACAAACATAAAACAGGTGATAGAGATGTGGGTTTTTTTTTTGTTTTGTTTTGTTTTCTTTTGTTTTTGGTGATGCTTGGTGGAGATTGAAGCTAGGACTAGGTAGGTGCTATACTGCTCTAGAAGATTTTGCATCATAGCTGTTTTCAGGAGCACAGTGCACAGGTAAAGTTTCAGGTTGTCATGTATATGGATCCCCACCCCTTAACTGTAGGAAATTGATCAAACAACTGAAATCAATGTCTGCTAAAAGAAGAACTTTCATGGGCTAGGGTTGTGGCTCAGCAGTAGAGTGCTTGCCCAGCACGTGTGAGGCCCTGAGTTTGATCCTCAGCACCACATAAAAATAAATAAATAAAGGTATTGTGTCCAACTACAACTAAAAAAATGAATAATTAAAAAAAAAAAAAGCAACTTTTCTCTGTGCTGTGACCAGCAAACAACTTGGGTCTCCTCAGATCTTGCCAAAGAACAAAAGAGTAAAAACAGGATAAAAGTGAATTAATGAGACATGAACCTCTGCTTCTTTGGCCGTAAGAGGAGTAGTTTCATTAACCATGTTATAAGATAGTTGAGAATATGTGAAATATTGCCTGTAAACCACTTGACCAAGACCTAGCTTATTATTGGGTTTTTATAACTGGTAACTAATTGTATTTGATAAAAATATTCTATGAGATACACATTAAGGAAATCATTAGTGCTATGGTTGTGGCTTACTGGTAGAGCACTTGCCTAATGTGTGAAACACTGGGTTCTATCCTCAGTACCACATAAAAAATAAATAAACAAAATAAGGGTATTGTGTTCATATGTAATTAAAAATATTTTAAAAAACATTATTCATATACTTATTAAAGAGGCTAAGAAAGACCATTTAGGAGGGACTGCTATGGTGGAATATAGACTGGGCTCAACCGCAAATACAAGGACGAGTAGAGACTTAAAGCAAAGGAGCAGGGGAAGGGATCAATGGATGGAAATTACTAAGCAGAAACAACAAGACTAGTTAGGGGGAGTCTTCCTGGGCCTAACACACAGGAAGTTCTTGCTGAAGGTAAGCCAGGGTGATGAGATACCAAGAGTGGGGTAAAGAGTTTAATTTTGGCAGTGATCCAATAGCAAGGGTGGTAGGAGATTTTTTTTGCTAAACTGACCCAGCAAAATTCTTGCTTAGAGGGCTAACTTGACTTAGAGGGCTAAGGGCAAAGCCTAATGTCAAGGCCAGTCAAAAAAAGAACTCAAAGGATCCTGACTCAGTTTGGTCAAAGAGTCTATCAGGCCAAATGCATTGCTGCAAACCTATAATCCAGGAGGGGCAAACAGATTGGAAGTTTAAAGACAGCCTGGGCAATTTAGTGAGACTGTCTTAAAATTTTAGAAAATTTTAGCTAGGTACGGTAGTGCACGCCTGTAATCCCAGCAGCTCAAGAGGCTGAAACAGGAGAATCGAGTTCAAAGCCAGCCTCAGTAACAGCAAGGTGCTAAGCAACTCAGTGAGACCCTGTCTCTAAATAAAATACAAAATGTGGTTCAGTGGTCGAGTGCCCCTGAGTTCAATCCCTGGTACCAAAAAAAAAAAAAAAAATTTTTTTTAGAAAATTCTTTAGCAGTCAGAGGTGGCTAAGGGATTTGGGAAGAATGTTGTCTGGCAATATATAGGAAAATATGTATATGATAGGAGTTTTCCTTTTACAATAGTGGGGACTGAACCCAGGACTTCCTGTATGCTAAGGGAGCACTCTGCCACTGAGCTACATTTCCAGCCTTTTTTATATTTGAGACAGGGTCTCACTAGGTTACCCAGACTGGCCTCAAACTTGCCATCCTCCTTCCTCAGCCACCTGAGTAGCTGGGATGACAGATGTGTGCCACTACCCAAACAATGGAAAATTCTTTGTAAGGAAAAAGGTAGCCAAGAAGTTTCTAATCTTTAGAGCCTCTGGTAGAAAACTTTAAACAAAAACAAACTTAGTTATTCGGCCTTTATCTGATTCTACCAGAACCATACAAAACTAGTATTCTATTATTCTGTTCGTTTTTACTGTTTTAGCCCATGTTGCTTTTATATGAATTCTCTACAAAGAAGACAGTTGCTCTGGGGAAGTACAGTAACATCCTTCTGTTTCTGGTCTCTCAATATAATTTCTCCAGCTACTTGCTCAGGTGTCTTGGGCCCCAAAGGTGAGTGGTTCCATGAGAACCTGTGTTGGTGTGTGTGCATTAGGTTGCAGAAGTTGGATACCTACCAGGAGCACAAGGAGTCTGCATCTGCTTACCAGGAAGCCTGGAGTGCACTCCGGAAGCAAGCCTTTGCATCCTGGATCAGAAACCCACCAGACTATCACCAGTTTAAATGAGAAAGAGAAGTTTTTAGAAGATCTGCTGGTTGCAGGACTCTTCATGTTGACTGCCTCTTCCTTCATGCAGGATAATCCTTAAGCTTTTCTAATGGCTAAATTTAAAAAAAAAAAAAAAAAAAAAAAAAAAAACCTTCTCCCAGAGGACTGTACCTCATTTTTGTATAACGTAGATGGAATCCAGAACATAGCAGTCTATACTTGACTGAGAGCTGAAGAAGCTCTTTGCTAAAATGGCATCTCACTGATGACCTGGGCATCTGACTTCCATTGTATTTTATTGCTTCTCTACAATTCAAAATTAGAGTTTGGAACATGACGCTATAAAATCACTCTCCAGCAGCTCAGTTTTATGTGTTTCTACATTGATTCAGCCAGTATTTATTGGACTGAAATGATGTGTAATATCTGAAGCCTTACAGCTCATCAGGCTTAGAGAACATGAATTTTGTATCCCCAGCCTCTCTATCTCTGGGGAGCCATCTTTTTCTCAGGCCTCAGCAGTCGGGCTTGGTTGAGGTTAACTGGACTCCCCGGCTCAGGAATGTGAGCCTGCTCTGGACGGCCCTGTTTTCAGCACTGACAAGAAAGATTCTCTTTTGGTCAGAGGTGTGAGGGCCACATAGTCTTGGAACTATGGTGGCCGACTTTTCCTACCAAGTAGAGACAGCCAGGGGAGGAGGAAAGCAGCCAGGAGGACCAAGCTCTAGGGACATGATTTGGATGCCTGAAGCCAGCAGCCACCCTGGACCTCAGTTAAGTGGCCCAGATTCCTATTGTTTTGATTAAGCCTCTTGGCATTGGTTTTCTGACAGCTAAGAGTTCTGTCTAAAAGGCCACAAGTCCCTATAGTAAATCAGCAACAGACCTAGCAACCAATCCTGTTGGACTAACATCTAATATTAGCTCTCAACGTCTTCTCACCTTTAATAACATTGGACTGAAAATAACAGCTCTCCATGTTGGAGTCACTCAAGGTTGGCATTCTTAATAATTTTAAATATTTCTTAATAACAGCTTTATTGAGCTATAGTTCACATACCATAAAATTCACCTACTTAAAGTATACAATTTAGTGATTTTTAGAATATCCACAGTTACACAGCCATCAACCGTAGAACATTTTCATTACCCCTATAAAAAAACTTCATGTTAGTTTTCAAGGACTTTCTTAATAAAGTACCTACCACAAGCTGCATGGCTCTAACACAATAGAAATAATTCTGTCATTTCTGAAATCTAGAAATCCAAAATCAAGGTGTCAAAATTGAATGGGACTGGGCATGGTGACACACGCCTGTAATCCTAGTGGCTCAGGAAGCTGAAACAGAAGGATTGTGAGCTCAAAGCCAGCCTCAGCCAAAGCAAGTGCCAGGAAATGAGTGAGGCCCTGTCTCTAGATAAAATACAAAAATAGGACTGGGAATGTGGCTCAGTGACCAAGTGCCCCTGAGTTTAATCCCCCGTACCCCTACCCCCCCAAAAAAAAAAAATTGAATGGGACTTATGTTCCCTCTAAACCTAGGAAGGATCCTTCCCTGCTTCTTCCTTGGCACTGCTGGCTCGCAGCCGTCCTTGGCCATCCTTGGCCTAGCTACTTTACTCCAGTTTCTGCCTCGGTCTTCACCTGCCCTCTTCCCTTTATATACCTCTGTTTTTACCTGGCCCTGTAAGAACTCCAGTCATATGAATTAGGGCCCATCCTAATTCACTCTGATCTCAGTGAACTACATCTGCAAAGACCTTATTTCCAAACAGAGTCAAATTCTGAGGTTCCAGATGGATGTGAAATTTGTGGGGGGGATACTGTTCAACCTAGTATAATACCTATTAGCAGTCTGTCCTCATTTTTTCTCAACTCCCCAGCCCTATGGCAACCAATAATCTATTTTCTGTCTGTGATTTTGCCTGTTCTGAACATTACATGTAAATGGAATAAAACAACATGTGGTCTTTTGTGACTGGCTTATTTCATTTAGCATAATGTTTTCAAGATTCATGTTGTAGTATGAATCAGTACTTTATTCCTTTTTATGAAATGTTTAGTTGTATGGATATATAATTTTTTAATTAGATCATTATTTAATGGACATTTGGATCATTTCTACTTTTGGCTCTTGTGAATAGTGCTTCTGTGAACATTCATGGACAAGTTTTGTTTGTTTGTTTGTTTGTTTTTGGTACCAGGGTTTGAACTCAGGGGTACTTAACCACTGAGCCACATCCCCAGCCCTATTTTGTATTGTATTTAGAGACAGGGTCTCACTGAGTTAGTTGCTTAGCAACTCACAGTTGTTGAGGCTGGCTTTGAACTCTTGATTCTCCTGTCTCAGCCTCCCAAGCCACTGGAATTACAGGTGTGCACCACTGTACCTGGCTCATAGATAAGTTTTTGTGTGAATATATATTCTTAATCTTTTTAATTATAGGAGAAATACTTTTTTTTTTTTTTTTCCATACTGGGGATTGAACCCAGGGCCTTGTGCATGCAAGGCAAGCACTCTATCAATTGTCCCCAGCCCAGGAGTAATACTTTGACACAATAAATCTTTTTTTTTTTTTTTTTACAATAAATCATAATTGAATTTTTTTCCATAAGAAATCCTTTTAGATAGCTAGTAAGAAAGGCAAAAACACCACTACCTGAAGGCCAGGCTCTGCAGTATTCTGCTTTAATCCGGGGGATTCTTTTTCCTGACAGCAAACCCACACTATAACAGCAGGTAGGACACCTGGGCAGGAGCTTTTACCCAGTCTTTTTTTTTTTTTGTACCAGGGATTGTACCCAGGGGCACTTAACCACTGGGCCATATCCTCAGCCCCCTTTTTTTGAGACAGTCTCGCTAAGTTGCTTAAGGCCTTGCTAAATTGGTGAGACTGTTCTTGAACTTGTGATCCTCCTGACTCAGTCTCCTAATTTGCTGGGATTACAGGAGTGTGCTATCACACCTGGCCAGAAACTTTTAAAGAGGCACATATAGAATAGTGTGATGGGTCCCCAAGAATGTATTACTCAGACTTAACAAACATCCGCTCTAGGCTAATGGCAGAATACCCAAGACAGGCCACCTATCTCTGAGGCCTCCGTGTCTGGCAATGGCATTAGGCAAGCACAGGCATAATGTCCATAAGGGAAAAGACTCAAAGGACAACACACTGTTTATTGTTATGAGTATTGATTTGTCCAAATTAGGATCAAAACAAGGCCTACCCAGGGTATTTGATATGTCTTTTAAAGAATCCATAACTCTATATCTTCCTTTTTATGTATTGAAAAATGGGTTATTGTCTTGTAAATTTTCCCATGTTTTGATTTGGTTGCTTATTTTCTTCAGGTTCCTCTTGCTGCCATATTTCCTGTACATTTGCAGTTACATGTAGAGACTTAATTATAACGATCCAGGGTCAGCTGATTCAATGTGAACACTTCGTAGGTGATTCTGTGTACTCGAGTTGCATCATATCTAAAGGACCTTCATATGTGGTGGTCACCCTTTCTGTGGGGTCAGCTGATCTATCCCACCACCCTCTCACCTTTCATTGTTAGCAGCTGTGTCAGGGATCTCTAAGATTACCCTCAGGTTCCATGATTCACTGGATGGATTTACAGAACTAGAAAAGCTGTTAGACTCAGTATTCCTGCTTACTGTAGAGAAAGAGTACAGATTAAAGTCAGCGAAAGGAAAAGCACATGAGTGAAGTCTAAGAGAAAACACACCCAAGCTTCTGATTGTCCCCCCTGTATTAACCCTGTGTTTCTGATGCTTTGTCATGGAAGGGAGGAGGGACTTGGCTGGCTGACCCTGAAGATACTGCCCTCCCAGGGCAAGCTAGCTGTTTCCTACAGAGTGAGTGCATGTTTTGATATGACACAAGCAATCTGAGCCATACCCCAACCATCTCCTTTATGGAACTTACACTCTGAGCCACTGTACTTCTGCCCTGATACTCATGGTCAGGTGTTAGGAAACTGGGACAAGCCAGCTATAGTTGCCTCCAGTGGCCTGTGCATTGAAGGCTGGATTCCCAGCTTGACCCCAGAGGAGGGTGGTGAGACCTTGAGGAGGTGGAGCCTAGTGGGAGGTCTTCAGTCACTGGAGATGTGCCCTTAAAGGGGGTAGTGGGACTCCAGCCCCTTGCTCTCCCCTTTTACTTCTCAGCTGTCACAAGTGAGCAGTTTACCACATCCTCACTGCCATGATGTACTTCCTTAGCACAGACCCAAAAGCAGCAGGGCCAGCAGACCCTGGACTAAAACTTTCAAAACTGTAAACCAAAATACTGCCCTTCTCAGGGCAAGCTAGCCCCTCCTGTTTTTAAGTTGGTCATCTCAGGAATTTTGTCACAGTGACAGAAAGCTAACACAAGCCCATAGCACCAGAGCCTGCTTACTCAGCCTTGTCCCCTCCCTTCCAATGGAAACCATAATAAAGGCTCTCACCGACTTTATCCCTCACTCCCTCTGCCTCCTAACTGACCCTGGTACTTCCCTCCGTGGCTCCTGTGGCACGCCTTGCCCTCCTCCTTAGATCTGTGAGTGTAGTGAGCTCTCTTGTGAGTGGCAGTCATCTCCTGTTCTTTGGCCTCACTACACCTGAATAATAATAATACAGTTTATATTTTCAAACACTATCCCAGTGTTAGGCACATGGACAGTGCCTAAATCTCCTAGCAATGATATGTGATAGTACAAGTGTGGCCAATTATGGAAGATCACCTGAGCTTTGGATGCTGCTAACATCCTATGAAGCACGACTGCCCCCGACTCGCCCCAGGTTACCAGGATCAAAATCAGTAGTGCTGAAGTTGAGAAACCCTCCTCAGGCAATGGTATTTTCAAGTCAATAGTTCCTCTCTCTAGATATTGCTCCAAATCTACACACAGTGAATGTTATTTCATTTTGCTTTCACTTTTTAGGGATGCTTTTTAAAAATTAAATTTATGTAAAATATTTATGATTTCAAAGATAAAATTAGGTTTCCTTTTTTTCCCCCTTAAGGTACAACTAAAGAGGTCTTCCAAACAGGAGTGGTGGTGCATGCCTGTGATCCCAGTGACTCTGGAGGCAGGAGGATCGCAAGTTCCAGGCCAGCCTCTACAACTTAGCAAGACCCTGTCCCAAAATGAAAAATAAAAAGGCCTGGGGATGTATGTATCTCAGTGGTAAGCACCCTTGGGTTCAAGGGTGCCACCACACCTGGCTCTCATTCTTCCCTTTTGATGTGTTCTGTGAATAGCCTACATACAACAATTTGTATTTTAGCCACTATATCTTTTGGATAGATTCTTAGAAGTGGAATTGCTGGTTCAAAACTTAAATGAGGGCTGGGGTTGTGGCTCAGAAGTAGAGCACTCACCTACCATGTGTGAAGCCCTGGGTTTGATTCTCAGCACCACATATAAATAAATAAAATAAATATATATAAAAAAAGAAAACTTAAATGAATATGTGATTTTACTTCATTTAAATATGATGTGGCATATTACGCAGAGGTACATGCCTATAATCCCAGCAACTCAGGAGGCTGAAGCAGGAGGATCCCAAGTTCAAAGCCAGCCTCAGCAATTTAGTGAGGCCCTGTCTCAAAAATTTAAAAAGACTGGGGATGTAGCTCAGTGGTAAAGTGCCCCTGGGTTCAATTCCCAGTACCAAAAAAAATTAAAAAAAAAATATATATATATATATATATATATATTTATATATATCATCCTAGTTTTATTTCTAAATATAATGAGTACACAACAGGATTACAACATGCCATTTCTATTTTTTAAAAGGATGAAAGATAAAGATTTATTTTTTGCTCATATATGCTAAAATATCTGAATAAATACACAAAAAAACAACCATCACACAGGGATTCTGAGAAGGGAAAGGAAGTGACTGGGACCCAGAAGTAAGAGGGAGAATTTATACTGAAAATCCTTTGTGTTTTGTTATTTAAAAAAATTTAAACCATGTTAATATAGTGCCTGTTCATTTCTTTGATTGATTGTGGTGCTGAGAAATTGAGTCCAGAACCTCACATATGCCAGGCAAATGCTCTATACTGAGCAACATCTCCAGCCCCAACATACTGCCCCTTAGTTGGAGTATGGGGGATGGAGCTCAGTGGTAGAACATGTGCTTAGCATTCCTGAGGGCCTGTGTTTGATCTCCAGTGCCACAAAAATAGAATAATCAGCAAGAACTAAATTTTGATTCCTCCTGGAAAGAAGAGGAGATGACGTCCTATGTCCTGTGGGCCTTTTTGCATTGCAGTATGATGCCGAGCACAGCCAGCTCACAGCCAGAATGCCTGCCATTCTAAGGGTGAATCTGACGTGCTAACGGATGGATCAGACATTCACCCCTGAGCCCCGCTGGATCAGTCAGCTCTTGTCTGGGCCCAAGACCCGAGTGATCTATCTGGGTTCAGGGGTGAATGCTTTTTATGTTTTTTTTTTTTTTTTAAAGAGAGAGTGAGAGAGGTAGAGAGAGAGAGAATTTCAACATTTATTTTTTAGTATTTGGCGGACACAACATCTTTATTTGTATGTGGTGCTGAGAATCGAACCCGGGCCGCACGCATGCCAGGCGAGCGCGCTACCGCTTGAGCCACATCCCCAGCCCGTGCTTTTTATGTTTAATAAACATCCCAAGACCCTTTCAGGCAGTTTTGCTAGTTGGTTGAAGTTGATATAACAAATAAATAAGAATCTGGTCAGTGCAGAAATGGCCAGTCCAGAAGCCAGCTTATAATCAAATACTATCCACATATTTGGATGTCCTTCACCTCATAGCAACAGGTGAGCTACGGATACACTTACCAAATGAATATAATAAAATTCAAAGTAAATACAATTCTGTGTAATCTGCCAAATATACAGGATGATGTTCCCTCTTAATTTTTTCTTTTTTTTTAGAACTGGAGAAATCAAACCCAGGGCCTCTTAGGCTCATTAGGCAAATGCTCTACTACTGAGCTAATAAATCTCTTAAGTTATTAGATCAAGTTTTCTGAATTTTAAACCATAGAAACACCAAAAAAGCTGGGCATGGTAGTGCATGCCTATAATCCCAGTGACTTGGGAGGCTGAAGCAGAAGGATCACAAGTTTAAAGCCAACCTCAGCAATTTAGGGAGGCCCTAAACAATAGTGAGACCCTCTCCCAAAAGAAAAAAATAGGGCTAGGGGTGTGGCTCAGTGGTTAAGTACCCCTGGGTTCAGTCCCTGGTACAGAAAGAAAAAGGAAGAAAGGAAGGGGAGGGAGGGAGGAAGTAAAGTAAGTAAGAGAGGGAAGGAGGGAGGAAGGAAAAGCAAAATAGCCTTGGGAGTGTTGTACAGGGTTGGAGGATCTCACAACATGCTTCAAGCAGTTCTGCTTGTAATTCCACAGAATTGTCCTCTTTTTTCTTTTCTTTTTTTTTTTTTTTTTTTGGCTCCAGCCCTTTTAAAATTTTATTTTTAGATAAAACTCAGTTACCCCAGCTGGTCTCAAACTTAGATCTTCCTGCCTCAGCCTCCCAGGTTTCTAGGATTACAGGTGTATGCACTGTGCCTGGCACAAAATTCTCTCTTCACTAACCAAATAACAAAAAGCCTTCGTAGATTTGGCTCTTTCAGGGACTGTTACACTTTCAGCATTACTGTTGCTTTGTCCTGGGTTCATAAGTAGGTTCTAATGTCATGACTACGTATGTGTGTTTTCCTTCAAGTTTTTAAAACTTGGTTGATTTTAATGGTTTTGGATGTAAACTACATGTAGTCATTTGTGCCACAAACCATGGGGTTAAATGCTTTTTTTAGTGCCGTTCATCAGCGCCAAGCATGAGCTCACTGTCTGGGGAAACTAAGCTGCTGTGGAGAAAATGGGTGGCTCTGGCCGCCAGCGCCTCTGTCAGAAGAAACGCAGGTCCTGTCTGATTCCGCTGCCTGTGGCCGATGGAAAGCTGTTTCCACCTGGACCTTGACAACATTTTTGGCTCTTAAGACAATGTTCCGAGCAAGCCTTAGCCAAAGTTTTCCAGTTTCTAAAACCCACTTCTCTTTCTGACAAGTTAATTATCTTTCCAAGCCCCACAGCCCCCCTGAGATAGTGAGAAAGCCACAGCTGTCAGGACAGTGCCATTGGGCACAAAGGGCAGTGGAACAGGGAAGTGGCTTCCAAGTGGCAAGTTAATGTGTATGTGCCGCCTTCAAGGGCTTAGGCAGATCTCCCAGAGAAACCAAGCCAGTTTTCCAGAAGGAATGGGCGATTAAAGAGCCAAGGAGGCAGATATTTTGGAGAAAGCATCTTAATTTTCCACAAGAAGGGTTTTTATAGAGCTCATATTAAGGGATCATAGTTGGCCTTCACATTCCTATGCACACGAATCTCTCTAAACCGAGATATGTCCATATGAGGCTAAGACTGCCTTCCTCTAAGGCTATCAGGATGGATCCAAAACCAATCTTAAGGATTACCTGTGATCCCAAAGGTGAGGGGGACATTCTGCCAGGAAACACCTCAGGGCAGCAGGCAGTCATTCAAATTCAACTTTAATTTTTTAAAACTGAGACCCCAGAGGCTGGGGGTGTAGCTCAGTGCAGAGTGCCTGCCTAGCCCATGGGAAGCCCTGGGTTTGATTCCCACCACAAAACTAATGGAAGGGAACAGAAATCAGAGCAGTGGTTGGTGCCTGATGTTGGGGAGGAAGCAGTAGAGGGTAACACACAGAACTCTCTAGATGAGGCAAACATGCTGTTTTAATTGCAGTGTTGATTCCTTGGGTATGAATATTTGTTTACATTAATTAAGGTCTATATTTTTGTATGTAATTATACCTCAATTTGAAATGTGTTTTTTTAAAAAAATTCCTTGCTGGGGAGGCTGGGGTTGTGGCTCAGTGGTAGAGCGCTTGCGTTTCGTGTATGAGGCACTGAGTTCAATTCTCTGCACCACATAAATAAGTGAATAAAATAAAGGTCTGTCAACAACTAAAAAAATTTTTTTTAAGTTTTAAAACAATTTCTTATCTGCTACTTGGTACAATTGAATGACTTGGGTCTAGATATTGAAGTAATTGTGTTCTGTTGATTCTGCCATTAACTTCCTGTGTGGATGTGGGGACTTCTGACCTCTCGTCTGCTCTACAAAATGAAGTCCCAGGAATTAGGATGCTATACTACAATAAGATTGCTCTTTTTTTTTTTTTTTAAAGGAAGGGTCTTACTAAATTGCCCAAGCTGGTCTTGCTTGAAATTGTGATCCTCCTGCTTCAGCCTCCTGAGTGCCTAGGATTAAACACATGTGATACTACACCTGGCTATCATAAAAATGTTTTTCACTTTTTTTATTTGTTCTTTTTAGATATTCATAAAGAAAATTGGATATATAACGCAATGAGAAACTTTCAAGAACTCTACCTATTTATGCTGTGACATACAGATGGCCGCAGTAGTCATATTGGTGATATGGGAGAAATGGAAAAAACTTTTGTCTTAATCTAGTAACCCAGGCTCTGGATTCAGATATGGACATTTTGCCATTTGTCCAGATGAGTCAATAGAGATTGGAATCAGCTTCTAGAACTAAGCCTGTTCACTGCTTTTCAAAGCCCAAATGTAGCAGAGTGTCTCTGTGGGAAACAAGGCAGAAGCAGAAAATCACTCCAAGAGGGAACTCAGACTGCCAAATAATTGGTCTCGAGCACGAGTTCACTGGACTTTGGCTCATTCCTGAAGGGGAAGCGCTCACAATGGAAACAGTGATGGTCACTTACTCAGGCAGCCAAGAGAATGAAAAGCACATTGAAACCCAGCAGTGTCCCTGCGGGAGAGGTACAGTGGGCCCCTTGGTGGTGAAACCGACCTGACAACGAAGCGGATCACAGAGCCCATTCCCAGCGTCTGTCTTCAGTTCCACAACAGACCTTTATGTGCACGCTCTCAGGAGATCTCTGAGAAATGATACAGCCAGCAGCCTAAGCTTTACCCCACAACAGATTCGGGCTCAATCTAGTTTGCCTGTTTGCTTTGAATTCCATTTTGTTGATTAAGAGAAAGAAGAGCCCGCTTAGATATAAAGTCCCTGCCAAAATACATCCCTCCTACGCAGGCTTCCTCAGCTTCCCTTTCTTATTTTCGCCTCTTGTGGACTATTTCCACCTCCACTCGCTCTTTTCATGCTGTATTTGTTCCTCAGCTTATCCAGTGCCACTGTGAATGTCCTTCTGTCCTAGCACGTCATTAACTGTTGGGCTGAGAGACCAGCTGGACGGGGGTGAAGGAATGGCAGCACAATCTAAACCGCTCTGTCGGTGCTCCCCCACCTGTGCCAAGCAGGCAGATGGCACAGCCGAGCTCCGCGCCTTATGTGAGTTGCTAAGGTGTGAATGCTTGTGTGCCCCCAAACTGTGTGTGTTGAAATCCTAACTCCCGATGTGGTGGTATTAGGAGGTGGTTAGGTCTTAAGGGAAGAGCCCTCATGAATGGGATTAGCACCTTTACAAGAGACCCCAGGGTAATTCCCTGTCTCTTCTGCCTTGTGAGGATATAATAAGATGGCCATCTAAGAATCAGGGAAATCTGCTACCTTAATCTTAGACCTCCCAGCCTTCAGCACTGAGAAGTGAATTTGTTGTTTATAAGCTATCTAGTTTATGATGTTTTGTTGGAATAGCCCAGACATGGGTTAGTATTTTGTTTGCATATACTTTGGCAGAATTCTGTCCTAAAATAATACTGTGGTAAAGGGCCATAAACCCAGGTATCTTCAGGAGTAGGAAATAAAGAGCCAGGCATGGTGGCTTTGGAGACTGAGATAGGAGGAGACTGAACAAGGAGGATTACAAGTTCAAGGCCAGCCTTAGCACCTTAGCAAGGCTCTAAGCAACTTACAAAGACCCTGTTTCAACATAAAAACTTAGTGATAAATGTGGCTTAGTGATAAATTGCCTTTGGGTTAAACCCCCAGTACCAAAAAAAGAAAAAGAGAAAGAGAAAAGGAAAGCACATGCGGTTAACTGGGAAGTATATTTCTTATTCAAACAGGAGGGTTTTGTTTTGTTTTTATTTATTCCATCTAATTGTTGCCAGATCCTAAGAATTTTTTTCAGGAGAAGCAAGAAAATGGATTTTTTTGGAGGGAGCAGGGGGTACTGATGACTGAATCCAGGGTCACTCTACCACTAAGCTACATCCCCAACCCCGCCTTTTTTCCCATTTTTGAATTTTGAGATAGGGTCTCACTAAGTTGACTCAGGCTGGCCTCAAACCTGCAATCCTCCTTCCTTAGCCTCCTGAGTAGCTGGGATTAAAGGCATGTTTCACTAAACCCAACAAGAAAATAGGATTTTTCTGTATATTTCTTTGAATTGCATACAAACACAGGCCTTCATTTCAACCATCTGATCTAGCAGAACAAAGGTGGGTTTTGGCATTAGACTTGAGTTTGAATTGTGGCTGTAGGACGTACTGGTTGTGTGCTCTTGGGTAGGTGACTGCATTCTTAGAATGTCAGTGCCCTCATCTTTGAAATGGGGGTTCCATAACACACTTGGCAGTGGGGTCACAGGGATGTGCCAAAATAACACACAGCACAGGGAAGAGGAGGGTGTCTGCCACGCTGACAGTGACTAGCATGTGGAACTCCAGCCGAGGCCTGCCCCTTCTGCTCAGAAGTGACTCCAACTTGCCAGTCCTGACTTCTGAGAGCTTTTGCTAAAAATGTAAGAGTCTGTCCTCAAAAGAATAATACTGGGGCTGGGGATGTGGCTCAAGCGGTAGCGCGCTCGCCTGGCATGCGTGCTGCCCGGGTTCGATCCTCAGCACCACATACCAACAAAGATGTTGTGTCCGCCGAAACCTAAAAAATAAATATTAAAATTCTCTCTCCCTCTCTCTCTTTAAAAAAAAAAAAAAGAATAATACTGGACAGATTTGTGGAGCCTCTTGTTGCACGCCAGGCATGTGCACCTTGGCTTCCATATAGTGCTGCCTCCCACATCTGGAGCAGCAGCCTCTCCAGGGGCTGAGGAGGGGGAACAAGCCTGATCACAGAGGCATGTAGAGACCTCCTACGGAAAGCGTGGCTTTCTTTGCCTCAGTGTCAGCTGCTAAGATTGGGTTTTTTTCCTAAGAAATAAAGATGAAAAGGAATCAGTTGTACTTTCTTTTCTTTTTTTTGTGGGTACCAGGGATTGAACTCAGGGGCATTGGCCACTGAGCCACATTCCTAGCCCCATTTTGTATTTTATTTAGAGACAGGGTCTCACTGAATTGCTTAGTGCCTCGCCATTGCTGAGGCTGGCTTTGAACTCATGATTCTCCCGTCTGGGCCTCCTGAGCTGCTGGGATTACAGGCCTGCGCCACCATGCCTGGCAGTTGTGCTTTTAAAAGCTTTCTACAATTCAGTCTAATGAAGAGTGAGTTCATTCTCCTTCTTCCACATTCTCCTTGAAAGAGATCCTTGGGCTGCCTTTGACTCTGGTTCACAAGCCCATTCCACGACAGTGTGTTTCAGAAACTGCTGCAAAATTAAGATGTGTTAGTGCTTGCTGAGTAGGCTCTCAGGTCCAAGGAGGGCTGGTCCTATCCCTCCTGAGTCTCATTAGTGTGCCAGTCCTTGTATCCTGCCCCCAAGGTACTGGATAAGGGATAGACATCATGTGCTCCTTGATGACAGGAGCGATGGCAAGTGACTTCACAGTGGAACAGCACAGCCCTGGGGAAGGGCACAGCACTCTCAGGAGCAGAGTAGGAAGTGCGGAGGACTAGGAGTCAGCAAATAAAAAGAAATGATGGTAGATTTGGGGACAGTTTTGCAGGAAAGGTATTTGAGGCCGAGAAACATCCTATGTGAAGCTGAAGATGAGAGCAGAGATGCCAGGTTGACAGGGCCCGGAGAGGCTGGGATCAGCTGACAACGGGCTTGGGTAGAAGGGGGAGGATTTTTATGTCTTGTTAGACTGGTTTTGTCCCAGTGACACAGTACTTCAGGAATTTGGGGAAAAGGATCAGAATGGAAGTTACATTTGGGAAGTTTGACCTCCTCTGCAGCAGAGAGGACAGATTGCAGGAACAGGAATAGTGGCAGAGGCCACAGTCGAGGGGACACTGCAGCATTTTGAAGAGAAATGATGAGACCCAGACAACAGTGGTTTGAGGAGCCCAAGGGATGGGGACTGACCAGGAATTCACAGAGGCTGTAAGGCTGAGTGTGACCAGTGGATGAAGATGAGGAAGCATTGTGTTCCTCAGGTTTTTACTGTTGTGACAAAATACCTGAGAAAAATAACTTACAGGAGGAAATCTTTATTTTTGTCCTGTGGTTTCAGAGGTCTCAGTCCATGGGCTGCCAGGTCATAGCTGTGGGCTGGAGGTGAGGAAGAGCATTATGGCTGGAGGGTGTGCTGGAGAGCTGCTCAGCTTATGGCAGCCAGCAGGGAAGTAGAGAAGAGGGGCCAGCTACACGCTTCTCAGGCATGTCCCCAGTGACCCAAGTCCTCCAGCTAGGCCCCACCTCCTCCAGTTTCCACCCCTCCCAGTATTGCCACCCAGAGATGAATGCACTGATGAGGTAGAGCCTCACGATCCAGTCACCTTCCCAAAGGCCCAACCTCGAACATGACTGCACTGGGAACCAAACCTTCAACATGCGAGACTTTAGGGGACATTCCAGATCCAAATTGCAGTAAGGGTAAAGGATGACTTCAGGTTACTGCCTGAGAGAATGGAACAAGGTGTCAGGAAGGGGTGCTGGTCTGGGAGGAGGACAGGAGATGCAAGCAGGGGCTGAGCTCACTCACTCTCAGAGCCTTCTATGATACCACAAGATGAGGGCCTCCCATGGACATCTGGAGGGGCTGTTTGGAGCTCAGGACAAAGTGGTAACTGGAGTCAAGAGCATGGTCTTGGACAATCTGTTTATAGGAAGTCATTGAAGACAAGGTCGGGATGCAGTCATCCAGAAAGAATGTACAGAATGAGAAGAGAGGGGCCCCTCTCTCCTGAGGATGGAGCCCTGGGGAAATGGAAGTTAGGGAGCAGGCAGAGAAACACAGGACTGGGTGTGACTGAGAGGCTGGAGGAAAACAGGAATAGCCAATTGGGAGCTTCAAGGAGGGAGGCATCTAAAGTACAAAATATTATGCCAGGTGCAGTGGCACACACCTGTAGTCCAGTGAATTGGAAGGCTTGAGGCAGGAGGACTGAAGTTTGAGGCCACCCTCAGCAACTCAAGGAGACCCTGTTTCAAAATAAAGAAGGGCTGAAGGTGTAGCTCAGTGGTAGAGCACCCCTGGGTTAAACTTTTAAAAGAATTAAACATTAAAAGAAAGGCAAGGAAGATAACAGCTTTAAAAAGTGTCCAATGGAGAGATTATTTTGGTAACCCCCACAAACACAGGGCCAGGGAAGTGGCAGATCTGGAAGCCAGCCTCTCTTGCACTGAGAAGTAAAGGGGAAATAAGAAATAGGGGCTGGGGCTGGGGTTGGGGCTCAGTGATAGAGTGATCGCCTTGCATGTGGAGGGTACTGGCTTCCATCCTCAGCACCACATAAAAATAAAAAAAATACAGGTGTTGTGTCCATCTACAACTAAAAAAAAAAGAAAATAGAAAAAAAGAAATAAAGCCAGCTGCATTCACTCCTCTGAAAAGGGGCCTATCTCTGTTCTCACTGTTGGACCTTAAACCAAAAAGTTACAAAATATTGCAAACATCAATGTAAAAAATAAATACCCACCACCCAACTAAACTATTTTTCTCTATTTGCTTCGGGTTTTTATTTTCAGAACTGAAACATGATAGATGTTTTTAAAACCCTACATTCACCCATCACTAGCCCTATTCCCCTCCCTCCATGTGGTAACCACCATCCTGAACTTGGTGTTTCATTCCTTTGCACAGTTTATACTTGTATTACATAAGTTTATATCATTAAGCAGTATATACAGCTCTTTTGCACATTTAAAAACTTCTGGTCTTGCTTTTTTTCATTAATCAGCATTGGAGATTTGTAGATTTATGTTCATATCTGCAGCTCTCGTTCATTCATTTTAACTGCTGTATAGTATTCCTTTGTATGAGTATGCCACTTATTATCTCTGTTTTCCTGTTGATGAA